AACAAAATTTATTGAATAAGTCCTTATAATACCCAAGTTCTCGAAAGTCAGCTTGTAATTACTCAAAAAATTTAAAAAGAAACTGGAATGTATTAAATTTAAAAGTCAAGACCTTTTTTATTGATTAAAACCTTAATTATGGTCTTTCTCAATTATTTATCTTGTTCGCTGGTCTGCTAATATTTTCCAGAACAACGAATATTCAAATTTTCTTACAAATACAAAGAGAACTTCATTCTCTTTCATAGTAGCAAGTTCAAAGTTCAAAATTGCAAGTTAGTCATCCTTTTGTTCCTCCATGTACAAAACTTTATTCTTTTTGACTCAAATTACTTGTGCTTGTAAGTAGCGTATAATAAATTATTTTAACTAGCTTTTTTGTAGGGATGGAGTGCATCTATATAAATATATTTCACATATTTATAGTTTTCTTTAATGTTTAGGTAATTTTATCTATTTATAAATATTTTCTGTAATTATATTATTTTATAAAATATTAAAAATTAAATACGCATGGGGCTTTGGGGCTTACACCTGGTACTTCGGAGCTTACGCCTCGCTGAGGCATATATAAAACATATATTGCGCCCACTCCTTCTAAAATACTCGTAGTGACTATTGTATTCCCATTTTCTCAACTTTTTAACTATGTTTCGTGAACTTGGAGTTTTATACGCTTAAACGAGGAAATTTGACGTCGTCCGTCCATTCATCCATTGGCCCCAACTTCTTTTTTGTCGTCTTTGGATAATTGTGCAATTATAGAGACCCCACTTATATTTAACTAGACATTATTTCCTACGTATTTCTTAAGTTTTTACTTTTCAACTTTTTTTAACGAACGGCTATCAGCCCAAAAACGAGAATATTTTAACGCGTCAAAGGACAGTAAAGTCAATAGGATTGCTACAACTTCAATGAAAAAGAAAGAGGCGAAGGGATAGATATGAGAGAGAGATATACTATTTGTTTCCTTTCGAGTGCCCAAATGGCTTTTTCTCTTAGGTGTTTTTGGGAAGCCTAGGTAGCGAGAAAGTAAAAACATTAGAGTATAATGCTCGTTCAGATTGATGGAGTAAAAGAATTACTACTATGTGTAAACATGCAAGTGAACAATTCTGAGATGTAGAATAACATTACCATACAATTTATAAGGAATCTTTATAGAGAGGATAGTAAAAATTTATCTCTATGTTTATATCCAACTAATATATATATTCATGAAATGTGTTTGCACATAGACTTCTCTCACAAATCTATACTTTAAAGAATGGAATATATATCTTCTCGTACATTAAATCATTTAACTATAAGTTTATAATTATATTATTTAGTGTAAATACCGGACACAGGTTAATTAGTTCTAGTGAGCACCATCAGGCATCATATAAAAAACTTTGAAATCCACCTCGATCGCTTCATATCTGTGCAACCACAAATTAAATATCTTGCTTAATATCCTCCATGCCATTGATCATGGATTCTTAATCTGATGGCTCATTGAGGCCAAGAGACCACGAGATGATTTATCTTCAAATTGTAAGCTAACTTTCTTTAATTAATTTACTATTTTCTCGTGATTGTGGTTTTCTATAACATCCATAAGGTAATAGTAAAAGTTTGTTGTAATTTAGCAAAAATATGCTAACATCTTAGATAAACTTTTTCAAGTAGTTGAATCGTATCGTTAAGCCTGGTATTGAGTATTTAACATAATAGAAGATTGGTTAGTACTGGTATCGGTCTTACAAGTGCAAAATCAGTTCATTAACGGTGTGTTTGGTTAGAGAGTATAAAGTATTTTTTATGCTACTCTCCTCACCCCCTTCCCCCAAGTCTCCATGTCCCTCCACCCTCCCCAAAATAGCCAACACTTTCAGGACTCTATTTTCTTCAAAAGTTTAACGGAGAAGGTCCAAATATACCCATGTACTTTTGAAAATGGTCTAAGAATATCCCTCGTTATACAATTGGGTTATCTATACCCCTGCAGTCGTACGTTGGGTTCAAATATACCTCTCATTTAAACGGAAAACACGTGTCATCGTCTTATTGGTCAATTCTAAATATCTCCTAATTAATTAAAAAAACTCATTATCCATACCCGAAAAATAATTTTATAAAGCAATTTTTTTTTTGTAAAAACTGGAAAAAACTGATTTTTTATTTACTAAAACTGAAAAAAACAAAACAATTTTTTTTTTTCAGTTTTTACAAAAAATTCTGCATCAAAAAAACTGACAAATATTTTTTAAAAAAATATTTTTGTAAAAACTGGAAAAAAAATTAAAAAATAATCTTCTAAAGCAATTAAAAACTGGAAAAAAACTGAATGTTTTTAAACTAAAAACTGAAAAAAATAAAATATTTATTTTTTTAATTTTTACAAAAATATTGCTTTAGAAAATTGCTTTTCAGTTTTTGTTCTTTAGTTTTTACAAAAATAATTGCTTTAGAAATTATTTTTCAGTTTTTATAAAGCAATGTTTTTCTAAAAATTCGAAAAACATATTTTCAATTTTTTCAGTTTTTAATTGCTTTAGAAAATTATTTTTCAGTTTTGTTTTTCACTTTTTACAAAAACATTATTTTAAAAAATATTTTTCCGTTTTTTTAAGCAGAGGTTTTTGTAAAAAATGAAAAGAAAAATTCGTTTTTTTCTGTTTTTAGTAAAAAAAAAATCTTTTTTTTTCTTCAATTTTTACAAAAAAATAATTGCTTTATAAAATTATTTTTCAGGTATGGATAATGGGTATTTTTAATTAATTAGGAGATATTTAGAATTGACCAATAAGATGATGACATATGTCCCTCCGTTTAAATGAGGGGTATATTTGAACCCAAAGTATGACTGCAGGGGTATAGATAATCCAATAGTATAACGAGGGGTATTCTTAGACCATTTTCAAAAGTATAGGGGTATATTTGAACCTTCTCCGAAAATTTAATTATTCTTCTAAAAATCACACAAATCCAAAGGAACTAATGTGCTGCTTTACTTTTTGACGCAAAAATAATGTAAAAATTTTTGCTAAAGTACTCTCTTTTTATTAGTTGAAAAAGAAATTACTCTTTCTATAACATGAAAATAAAGTACTCATTTGTTGAAATGAAAGAAAATATTTTTTTCTACATCATGAAAAGATACTCGTTATGGGGACATGGCGAATAGGGGTGGGTTGGTGGGGATATGGGGAATAGGGGGAAGATTGAAAAAGAGTTTTGGGAAAGTTTTTTTTTTGTTTTGATAGGGAAAATATTTTCCTCCAATTTGAGAAAAATGAGTTCATGGGCGTGGGGTGGAGGTGGGTAGCTGGAGGTGTGGGGTGGGTTGGTGGGGATATGTGGAATAGGGGAAGATTGGAAAAGAGTTTTGGGAAAGTATTTTTTTTTGTTTTGATGGGGAAAACATTTTCCTCTAATTGATGAAAAATGAGTTCACTAGAAAAATATTTTCCAAAATATTTAATCCAACCAAACATGATAAAATTAAAAAATATTTAAAAATATTTTCGTTCGTACCAAACACACCCACAGTGGAACTGATTAATCTGTGTGTTACGTAATTTGTGCCGCTTCATGCATTTATTTCGTGCGACGATTTGGAATTCTTCAATAAATAACTAATAGTGAAAGATCATATAATACTAGTAATACTAGCTTTAAAAAAATGTAAGTGTCGGGAGGGTGACGGAAATGACAATTATGTCATAAACACACGTTGTTCATACTTCACATAGGGGCGACTCTAAGGCTTTGGGACCATAATAGTAGCAGCAGTAGTAATAGTAGTCGTAATCATAGTAACAGTAGTGGTAATAATCGTAGTGGTGATAGTGGTGGTAATGGTAGTGATGGTAGTGGTAGTAATAATAGTAGCAGTAGTGATAGTAATAATAATAGTAATAGTAGATAGTGGTGGTAGTGGTAGTAGTAATAGTGGTAGTAGATATTCACCAATAAGCGTGCTACTTAATAGAATAAACTACAACAATCGTTTAAATTGATCAGGAGTAAATACTTTTGACACCGTCAATACTCAAAACTTAAGCTATTACGTTATATATGTACGCTTATTCTTTTTCTCGTTTGTGATGATAGCCAAATCAAAATTTTCAATTTGAGTTCTAGACCTCGACATTCGATAGTCCACCACTTTATTTTTTGTGCTCTTTTTCCTAATTTGTTTTTGAAATTCGCTTTTTTGTCTTAAATGATTTAAAAGTAAATTTTATTGTTAGTGTAAATATTTTATAAAATAAATTTAAGAGCCTCTCAATATGATTTCATCTTAGGCCACGAAATCCGTTGAGCACAGGGGCGGAGCCACCTTATGGGATGCGTGACACCGCTTCATCGGAAAGATTTATTAAATACATATATAGACATATGCAAAACCAAATAATACATAAAAACGATAAAGGTGACAACACTTGAAATAAAATAACTCATTGTCCAACTGGTTAAGCGTTTCAACTTCTTAGTATGTCGGGAGTACGAATCCTTTTGGTGGAACCCTTATGTTTTTATTGTTTTGAAGACATTATTTATTAAAAAAGAATTAAAATATATTCTATATTAGTAAGGACCTCTAACAAAATTAAGCAACAACAAAAGTCACTTGAACAAGAATTCATTTGTTAGTCAATTTGACAATAAATATACTCAAATCATTCTTGGAAAAAGACATATTTGGTACTAGTATTTCTAACAAGATTATTATTAATACATTTAGAAAATAAAAACTCGTTGTAAAGATTTATAGTAATGTTTTGAATTTTATTTTTTTTAATAAATACAATGTCATTATAGTTATTCATTTGTTCACTTCTTTGTTTACCTATTACAAAATATGATACGGACTTACGAAAAATTTTGCGTACGACACTGGTTGAGCTGCCCCTGTGTTCACATTGGAAGAATAATATCATGGCACATTTCTTCTCTATAAATTCAAGGTTAGCATGGTCGAATAAAGCATCCAAAACAAATATCGCATATCCAATCTAAAGAAACAAAAAAAATGAAGATCATCTTCCTCTTGTTTTCTCTTGCATTAGTTCCCTTGTCAGCCTTGGCAACTTGCACCACTGATACTCCGAACCAATTATTGAGGGCTGTACACGATACAGATGGTTATCCCCTACAAGTAAACACCAGGTACTTCGTATTTTCATCTTGTTGGGGAGCTGGCGGCGGTGGTGTACGGCTTGCTAATATCGGAGATCAAGAAGAAAACGCTTGTCCCACAGCAGTGGTGCAATCCCGCAGTGATCTCGACAAAGGTGAATATGTGAGCATGTCATCTAAAAGTTTACTTTGTTTAAAGGATGCAACACAATTTTTGATTATTTTGTTGTATTATATTACTATGTCTTAACAGGTATAGCAGTCTACTTCAAACCTAAAGAGCCCAAACATCAGCAGATTGTGGAGTCTTCTTCGTTAAACATCAATTTCTATTTTGATAGTAATAAGTGTGCTAACCTAACAGTGTGGAAGGTAGACAACTACCCTATACCTCGAAAGTACAGCACAATAAGCACAGGTGCAAAGTTGGGAAATCCCCTGGATGTGAATAGCTGGTTTCAAATTAAGCCTCTTGGTGGCTCGACGTATAAGCTAGTGTTCTGTCCCTACGGAGAGGAGTTTACTTGCCAAAATGTAGGCATCACTGAGGAAAATGGATATAGGCGTTTGGTTCTCACAGAGAATGCAAAGGCCTTTGTGTTCATAAAGCATGGCGGATTAGGAAAGGCCGAAGCATGATTATGCATCTGCTTTCTAATAAAACTAAGTTGTGTAAAACATGTATTAATGCAGGCCCTGCATTCGGTGTTTCACTGGATGTAAGAATAAATAATGTAATGCAGCCCTAATAAGTGCCCTATGCATGCTTTATTCCCTGTAATAGATGCATGTTGCACTGATATTTTCCTAATATATCTTCTCTGTTTATTTTTTAACGGTTCGATCTTTGTGTACCTTATAAAACAAAAATTAAAAAGTATTAGGCTTTTTCAAATGGATGAAAAAATTAAGTGCATTTTCAAAAGGTTTGAAAAACGAACAAGTATTGCACGTCCTAGCACTAGAAAACCAAAGGCTAAGCTCTGGTCATCGAAGGGCACTCTTAGCAAGACTCAATCAATTATGATGAAACATTTGACCCCCGCTGTCATGGTATAATCTATCCGAATACTTTTTATATATGCACCTTTCAAAACTTTTGCATTTTTGTTTTTTACGCTTTTGAATGTAATCATTCCGTTCCAATTTACGTGAACATGTTTGACTGAGTACGGAATTTAAGAAAAATGTGATCCAGAGTATTTGTGTGATTATAAAAGTTTCACATTAAGGGTAAAATTGAAAGTTTAAGCTAAATTATTTCCAAATTTAAAAGTAGGTCATTCTTTTTGGAACAGACTAAAAAGGAAATAGGTTCACATAAACTGGAACGGAATGAGTACTAGTTTTAGGGTACGCGCCCGTAATATCTGAATTCTGTCTCAATGAGTATATATTTATTTTTAAAAATATTAAATTATAAAATAAAAGTGTTATTTCAATAATTAAAGAAACTATCTTAGAAGTCCTCAACATCAATGATTCAACTTGAAATTTGTTCCAAAGTTTATAATTTCAGAATTTCAGTTTAGCGGACAAGAACCTTGAAAATGTAAATAATCTTGAAGTATACAACTTACAACATATAAGCAAATCTACAAACTTTAAATAAATACAAAATCAAAGTGCAATAATAAACCGAGAAAAAAAAAAG